TCATGAGAACTTGGAGGCAATGGTCACATGGATCATAAAATGTGTTTGGAGACATGGAGATTTTCATAGTAAAGATATGGAGAAAATTAATTGTTTTTCATTAAAATTTTTGAAAGATAGATATATAATGTATGGTATAATCTGAAGATTATTTGATCTCAAACAACGCATCAAATGACTTCTTTGCCTAGTTCTAGTTGCTTTTCTGTTCTCAAAAATTAGTGAAGGTAATCTCTATCGATTAATCTTTTATTTTTTTCAAAGTGTGACATTCGTCGGTGTCATGCTCATAATCACGATGAAAAGAAAAAAATTTGTTAGGGTTCCTTATGTTCACACCATTTATTATAGGAGGAGGATATTGCACAAACTCTTTTCTTAGAAAGCAACTAATATCTTAGTATGTATAGTGGTTAAATATTTAAACATAGGCTTGAAGAATGTGAGGTAATCACAATTATATCCTTTGGTGTTTATTTTTTATGCTCTAATAAGAAACTAATAACATTGGGGAAAGTCAATTTGATGGAAACATGGGTGACCTTGTTTAGTGATCGTAACTTTTTCCACAATAAAAAAAAAAAATTACATTGCTTGTTTGAATCTAATAAGACTTATTTCAAGAAGTGTGTATAACATTTTCCAAATGAAATAGTTATATACTTTATTAATCAGAGCTTTTATAGTGATGGATTCAAGAATTTTATCTGCATTAAGCATTTCTTTGTTGACCTTTAAAGATAAGCCTTGGTGCTCTCATTTTCTCGTTGTGTAATAGTAAAGAGCTTTATGATACTCTTTTTAACAGGAATGCTTATGCTAAAACAAGAGATATTTTAAAGATGAGTCATGAAAATAAAGAATAGATTCAAGCTCTAAGTTATAGTACTATACACGTGCAGATCCAATAATTGTTGGAAAAGGTTTGCACATAGCATCAATGTTTTATATAAAAAACTCAAGGATACATCTCATATTTTGTATGTGCTCTCGAGGTTCTGTCAATCCCTTGTAGTTGTATAGGTTGGCTTTTACATAAACAAAGTATTTGAAGAGTTGAGTGTGTAGGATTCTATGATAAAATGATGATTCTCCTATTATGATGTATTCAAAAGCTCGTGAAGTCATGGATTTCATCTTACTTTTAGGCCTTTTCTAGTGCATGAGTGAGATTCAAATAAATATTGATGGCAATTGTATCTTTTAAAGGATATCAAGTGAGAACAAGGTGTGTAACTCTTTCTAAGTGTAGGAGTGTGAGCGTTACTCACTTGCATATCATATGGTCCTTTAGGAAACTTGAGTTGTTTTTTATGCACTTAGTGATGCATGAATGAGAGCTTGTTGTTGTATAAATAAAAAAGTGCAACAATGTAGTTGCATCACTGCGATATCATTATTGAGAAATTGCACTTAATTGGAGTTGCCATAGTAAAAAGATCAGTCACTGTCTCTTATATTGAAGTTTCATCAACCATGAAAAATGATTTAGGTTAAGAGTTAAGGGAATGAAGTAGATTTTTATTTAGATCCCACATATAGTGTTACTAATAAAATCGTAAAAATCTTCACACGTAAATTGGATTTTTCACAATCTGCAACAAAACTAAATTGTGTGAATTGAGTTGAGTTTTTATCTTGAAAGCTCTTAAGAAAGTAAGTCCCTCTTAGAATGAGTAACTATTCGATGTTTAAGTCATCACTTGTATATAAGGGAGAAGGTAATGTATATACATATAAAAAAAAGTATATAGTATGTATTTTTATGTATAGCTAGGTATATAGGATTACGAAGAAACTATATGGCTTGAGAGTTTCTAGGTATAAAGTTTGGCACTCTCTATTGTAAAGAGTTTGTGTGTCCAAAATTAGTCATGACTTGCTTGTGGGATGAAGTGTGTTTATATAACTAACTTGAAATTTTTTTTATAAAAGTATTAAGTCATAGGACATCCAAAAATGAATTTTATGCCTAGCATGTGATTGAAGAATAAGTCAATGTGTTATGTTTTTGTGATAAAATATATTGATTTTCATTAAAGTTTATGTAAGATAACAAGTGTTATAAAAATCTATATGAATAATAAAAAATAATGTTTGTTAGTAAAAATTTCATGCAGACGAGAGAAAAAATTATATGTGCTACACATTAAAATTATCAATACCTAGAAAAATAAATATATAAATTAAAAAAAAAAATAAAAATTGAAATGAATTATGCTCGGATAATCTGATTATCTTGACCCAAGCCCAGGACGGTCAGGGGGACGGTCCCCCACGCCTGCCCCAGGTGAGCAGCGCTGTCCAAGCCTGGTGAAACAACCCAAATATTTACTTGAGTTATTGTACCTTTTTTTTTTTTTTCCCAAAATGATGCTTATTTTATTTGAGTGCTAGTACCTTCGGTTTTTTTTTTAAGTGTTTCTTAGAATATATTATGTTTTTATGACGTGTCTGTTAAATAGACACCTATCAACCTTATTGTGGGATCCATTATACAAAAAAACATGTGAAATTTTGAAAATTAAAAATAAAATAAATAATAAAGATGTAAGTTTTATTTCCAGAAGGAAATGTCCTACCCATTATTTCTACTGTATGTTATAAAAGCACTGAAATCCTGAATTCAATAATAAAAAAAAAACATTGTGTTGTGGAGACATATATCGTTTTTATCATTATATTTTATTTATTGCTTTAATGTTTCTAAATGATCCATAAAAAGGAGTGAAGAAATTTCTTTATAAAGCATGATCTCCGTTTCTAAATGATCCATAAAAAGGAGTGAAAAAATTTCTTTATAAAGCATGATCTTCATTATTTCATTTTTCAAATTTTGATTTTTTTTTTCATTTTTTCCATTTATAAATAAAGGGTTTAATCAATGGACATTTCACTCAGAATTTATCAACTTGCGGCTGGGAATTTTAATTGAAAAATAAATAAAGAATTAGAAACTCAAATAAAAAATATATATATAAATAAAATTTACTTTCTTAAAGAATAATGATAAAGATACGTATTAGAAAACAAGTTTTTAATTATATTATATTATTATACTAGAAACCCTAATATTATACACATTGTGTCAAAAAATTCAAAAATAGAGTGCATATTAATAACTAGGAATTAAAGTTTTTCTTTCAGTCCTTGAAAGGAACAAGGGTGGATTCATAATCTTACTTTTCCCTAATTTATATCCACAAAACGTCTATATTTCACTTTTGCTCTCTTCCTTCTTCCACACCTTACCTTTACTGACCCTCTCCTCACTCAAACCAGCAGTGTTAGCTCTCTGCTTTGAATTGTTAAAAAAAAAAAAAAAAGAGTGTTCTGCTTTAGGAAGAGCATGTCTGGAGAATGACAACTAATAATATTTTTCTCATGTTTTAATAATAAGCATCCACAGCCATACTCTCCTTTAATAGCTAGCAAGTATGCTTTCTTTTTCATAGCACATCCATGCCCTCTAAACTACTTTTTACTCTGGCTTTATGAACAAGGCTTACTGTGTACAGTTAGCTTTATGAACAATCCTTACTGTGTACTGTGACTGTTGTTCAACTCATCAAATCGTTACTCTTTGCAGTGACAAAAAGAAGAAGAAGCAAGCACTTAGTTTATAGCATTTTAAAACAAGGATTGTGATAATAATTTTTAAACCATTTTAGATATATATAAAAAAAAAGGTTAGTAACTTCGTTTTTCTATCTTACCTCGGAGACCAAACCTCATTCAAAAGAACGGCTCCGTAAACGGTTTAAGGAATTTGGGGGCATTAACTGGGTTTCCCTTCATGTTTTTTCCCATCTGAAATGCTTCAAAAGTTTTAGCTTACTTCAGACTTTCAAGATAAACCCTATGATCTTCGTAAGAAGTCCGATGCCATGTTGAATATGATTTTTTTACCTTAAATCCTCGAGTTACCAGCCAGGGGATGGATCGAACCATTTCTTCTGCGTAATTTCTAAAATTTCTTCGAAAATATTAATAATACTATTTAGGAGCATCAGGAGAAGAATACAGCCAGCACAGGAGAAATTTGAAACATGTCTGAAATAGGGAGGTTGTTACACATAACGAGTAGATTAATCATTATTTTGTTTCTAAAGTATGGTACTTGGCATCAGTGTTTGCAAAGTAATTATCATACTAATGACTTACATTATCCAAAAAGTAGGTGATGAAGAAGTCTTGATTTTCTGATCAGAAGAATCTAATTAAAAATAAGACTGCAGCCCATACTTTTCTCCTCGGAAAGGCACCAAGTGTCCCATTCTGCTCCCAATGCACATCAATACAAAATATTCCCTCGTGTAGTCATCGTTATTTAGAGTTGTCTAAAGCAAAAGATGCTCCATCTGTAAATGGGATGTTTGTTCTTGCTCCGAAATTGTTAGCCAAATAGAATCCAACAAAGAGGGAGAGCCTTGTCTGTCAATGCCTAGGGATTTTAAGCAGAACACCGGTGCTGTAGCCCCTAATGATCTTTTGACTTGTATAAAGGGACTCGGTTTATAAACAAGTAAAAGAAAACAGCATTTCACTTTAAAGGAAGAAAGTCATACTGACAGCAAGAAATTAAATTAAAGATGAATAAAAATGGGAAAGAATATCGGATAAAGCATCTTTATGTGCAACGTGATGCACCATTAAGCTTTCTATGCTGCTTTTTCTTTATTTATTCTCACCATAGCATCTTTAACTCCGCAGAATTTCCAAAACGGTTTGTTTTTGCTTCCTTTCCTTCCCATTAGCTTTGCTGCAGAAACCAGAAGGAAGGGAGTAGCTGTCGTCACTAAGTGATGCAGCTCAAATAAAGTAACCAGGACTGCCATCCCTTGAAAGATAAAGGTCTCTGGACTGGAGACTGAAGGGTATTGTGGAATTGTGGATGGTTTAATTTTTCAGTTGGATAATTTTATAAAGCCAATAAAGCCTAAAGAATCTAGGATAGTGAACATGCACTAAGTCACCTTGTTTTAAAATCTAAAAAGATTATCTGTCCTTTCAAGTGGGGTGGCAATCACCTTGCATTTATGCTTATAAGCGAAACACAAGCCTTCCCCATTACACTTCACCCAGTACAACTTGTAGCCTTGCAGCTGTTATTAATAATTCTTTCTCTTTACCTTTCCCTCCAAAATCAAGATTCTTTTGCTGCTCAAAGCAAACCAGAAAGGTAATAGCTAAGCTGTTGGTGGAGTTGTAGATACTCTGAAGTCAAGCCTCAGCAAGATAAGGATCCATTTTACTGAATGTACACGAGCACCAAAGATATTTCAACTTCTGTAAGTCTTACAGACTAAGTTTATAGGAGACAGTCCTGTGCATCAATACGCCAACAGCAAGCTTTGCTTCTGTAAGGAATTTCTTTGGAAAAAAACATTGGGAAAGAGTGCCCTCGATTTTGCATCAATGAATCCAATAGCTGCTCCTGACCACAAAGATGACTTCAAATTGAAGGACACAAAGCCTCAGCTTGGGGAACGTTGGCCTCATGGAGGACCACGCGGTGGAGGTGGGTGGATTAGCAGTGAAAGAGCAACAAGCACGTATGATCTTGTGGAGCAGATGTTTTATCTGTATGTCCGAGTTGTGAAAGCCAAAGATCTTCCCACAAACCCAGTAACTGGAAGCCTCGACCCCTACATAGAAGTTAAAGTTGGGAATTATAGAGGAAAAACACAGCATTTTGAGAAGAAAACCAACCCTGAATGGAACCAGGTTTTCGCATTCTCAAAGGAGAAAATTCAGTCTTCAGTGGTTGAAGTATTCCTCAGAGATAGAGAGATGGTGTTGAGAGATGATTACGTAGGAAAGGTGGTCTTTGACATGCATGAAGTGCCTACAAGGGTTCCACCAGACAGCCCTTTGGCACCTCAGTGGTATAGATTAGAGGGTCGCAGTGGAGATAGAAAGGTGAGAGGAGAGGTGATGCTTGCAGTTTGGATGGGTACACAGGCTGATGAAGCTTTTCCAGAGTCCTGGCACTCAGATGCTACTTCGGTTCATGGGGAGGGTGTTTTCAATATCCGATCAAAGGTTTATGTTTCGCCAAAACTGTGGTATCTCAGAGTTAATGTGATTGAAGCTCAGGATGTAGAATCGCTTGACAGAAGTCAATTACCACAGGTTTTCGTGAAAGCTCAAGTTGGAAACCAGATACTCAAAACCAAGCTATGTCCAACCAGAACAACAAACCCTATGTGGAATGAAGATCTGATCTTTGTCGCAGCAGAGCCATTTGAAGAGCAGTTGATACTTACTGTCGAAAATAAAGCAAGCCCTGCGAAAGATGAAGTCATGGGGAGAGCAAATTTGCCGCTCCATATCTTCGAGAGGCGGTTGGATCACCGGCCAGTTCACTCCAAGTGGTTCAACCTTGAAAAATTTGGGTTTGGTGCTCTAGAGGGAGACAAGAGGCACGAGCTCAAATTTTCAACCAGGATTCATCTCAGGGTTTGCCTCGAGGGTGCTTACCATGTGCTTGATGAATCAACAATGTACATAAGTGACCAACGACCAACAGCTAGGCAGCTCTGGAAGCAGCCCATTGGAATCCTTGAAGTCGGCATCCTGAGTGCGCAAGGGCTTCTGCCAATGAAAACAAAGGATGGCAGAGGAACTACTGATGCTTATTGTGTAGCCAAGTATGGGCTGAAGTGGGTACGGACCAGAACGATCATTGAAAACTTCAATCCTAAGTGGAATGAGCAGTATACATGGGAGGTGTATGACCCTTGCACGGTGATCACCTTGGGAGTTTTTGACAACTGCCACTTGGGAGGAACTGAAAACCAGGCAACTGGTGGTGGAGCACGAAATGACATGAGAATTGGAAAGGTAAGAATTCGACTATCTACCTTGGAAACAGACAGAATATACACACACTCCTATCCACTTCTAGTCCTACAACCATCTGGGCTGAAAAAGATGGGAGAACTCCAGTTAGCAGTTCGATTCACTTGCCTATCACTAGCAAATATGATTTACCTCTATGGGCAACCCTTGTTGCCAAAAATGCATTATTTGCATCCTTTTACTGTAAATCAGCTAGACAGTTTGAGATATCAGGCCATGAATATTGTAGCAGTAAGGCTTGGCAGAGCTGAGCCACCACTAAGGAAAGAGACAGTGGAGTATATGTTGGATGTGGATTCTCACATGTGGAGCATGAGAAGGAGCAAAGCTAACTTCTTCCGAATTGTCTCGCTGTTTTCTGGGGTGATCTCAATGAGCAAGTGGCTTGGTGAAGTGTGTAAATGGAAGAATCCGGTGACAACAGTCCTAGTTCACGTTTTATTTTTCATATTGATATGCTACCCAGAACTGATTCTACCAACTATTTTCCTATATATGTTTTTGATTGGATTATGGAATTACCGGTTCCGCGCAAGGCACCCTCCTCACATGGATACCAAGCTTTCGTGGGCAGAAGCTGTTCATCCAGATGAACTGGATGAAGAGTTTGACACATTTCCCACATCAAAGCAACAGGACGTAGTGCGAATGAGGTACGACAGACTTAGAAGTGTTGCAGGAAGGATCCAGACTGTGGTGGGAGACATGGCAACACAAGGGGAACGTTTTCAAGCTCTGCTCAGCTGGAGAGACCCAAGAGCAACCAGCCTCTACATAATTTTCTGCCTTATTGCAGCCGTCGTGCTCTACATAACACCTTTTAAAATAATTACCTTGGGTACAGGCTTATTCTGGCTGCGACATCCAAGGTTTCGAAGCAAGCAACCATCAGTTCCCAGCAATTTCTTCAGGAGATTGCCATCACGAGCTGATAGCATGCTTTGAACAAAAAGAAAGGGCTCGTCTCATGTTCTGTTTTCAAGTTTCAGTTATGTTTGTTGACAACGTTTCCTAATAGAAGTTTATGGGATTTTCTGGTATCTCTCATTTTTCTTCTTCCTGCTAGAATCCTAACCTATGTTTTGCTTCCAAGAAAATTATGTAATAAAGCAGTTTCGGTTTGAATTAAACAGGTGATACAAACATAAAATTGATTAGATTTGCCATTGCATAGGGCAGACATACCATAACTATGCTCTAGATGCAGAATGTTATTTCATAAAAGCAATCCCAAGTTAATTACTTGATTCAACAAATTCAATAACAACTCTGAATAAAACTCTAGAGGAACCTGAAAAAACAATAAACAAGTAGACTGGGCCATAAACGATGCTGATGGAAAACCAAACTACCAAAGACTGTTAACATGCAAAATCTTGGATTCTTTGCCATAACTATCACAGATCATACAGCCAATGGTAATCAAAATCTTGAAGAAAAAAATGGATAGTATGAGATAAGTACATCGTTTTCCCTAGAAGACAAGCTCATGAGTTTCGTGCCTGAGTTGACAGAGAATCTTGCACCCAAGTACGACTTCAAATCCGCAACGCCTTCGATGGCCTTCATCACAGGGGCATTCACAGCTTTCTGATCTTCCTTCTTCTCAGCTGGGAAGATGTTCTTGACCTACAGTTGGTTGCGAAATACACACAACCAGAAGTGGATTCATTGACCAAACAAGATCATCTTGACATAGAAACATGATAGAACATCATGAAAAATTAATTTTTGGATATAATCAATAAACCAAAATCAAAAAATGTCTTACAACGAAAAACAAAAACCCATTTTCTGATAACCTAAAATTCAACACATGCAACTCGCTTTCCCAGACGCCTCCCTTCTTATAACATCAACTCCCCGGTGTAATACTCTCCCTAAGACACACCTTAATAAATTAAGACAAATAAATAAATAAAGAAGCCACAAAACAGAGAAGGAAAAAAAAAAAATTCTTGCCATTTTTTACCCCAGCCTGGTGAGTTTAGGCTTTCGCTTGTTACGTCTTCTTGACATCATCAGTTGGGTAGAACTTCGGTGGCCTCTTAACATCATTATTTTAGAAACACCAAATAAAAATTTAAAATCTTAAGAATTTGATTAGAGGGATGAAACTAAAAAAGTAATTAAATTAAAAAAATAATTAGTAAAATTAAATTAAAAAAATAATTAATTAAACTGATTCAAATTTTAAAAATATTGGCCATTTTAGTTTGGTTTAGTTTTATAAATATAAAACTAAAAAAATCAAATCAAATCTAATCCGAAAAAACTAAGATAAATAAAAAAAATAGAGCCAAACAAAATAAAAACCAAACCAAGCCAGAAATAGAAGGCCAAAACCAGAAAAACCGAGTCAAAATTAAAAACAAATGAGCCAAATCAAAAAAATTAAATCAAACCGATTTGAATTGGTTCTTATCTTTAAAAAACTAAATCGAACTGAACGAAAATTATTTGATTTAAACTAATTTCGATTTAGTTTTGATTATTTTTTAAATTTTAATTTAGTTATTTTTTAAATAAAAATCAAATCTAACTAAAAATAATCGTTGCTGTTTAATTATCTTTAAGAAAATTAAATTAAAAAAATAATTAATTAAATTGATTCAAATTTTAAAAAAATTAACTATTTTAGTTTAATTTAGTTTTATAAATATAAAACCAAAAAAATCAAATCAAACCTAATCCGAAAAAACTAAGAAAAAACAGAAAAAACAGAGCCAAACAAAGTCAAAACTAAACCAAGCCAGAAAGACAAGACTAAAACTAGAAAAACCGAGTCAAAATTAAAAAAAAAATAAGCCAAATCAAAAAAATTAGATCAAACCGATTCGAACTGGTTCTTATCTTTAAAAAACTAAATCGAACCGAACCAAAATCATTTGATTTGAACTAGTTTCGATTTAGTTTTAATTATTTTTTACATTTTTAATTTAATTATTTTTTTAAATAAAAACCAAATCTAACTAAAAATAATCATTCCTGTTGAATTATCTTTAAAAAAATTACTTCGACATATATAATTCAGGTATTTAAATTACTAAATTCCATGATATTTAGATTCCACTAATCTTCTATCCGTGCTAGGGTAGAATTTCAAGTTAGTTTACAGCGTCAGAGAAGAAAGTGCTAGTGTTATAGATGTAATTTTTGGTATGATGATTTTTTTAATTGGAAAACGGAAAGTTGCTGCTCAGGTTTAATAAAATAAATTAAAAATATATATGAATTGATAAATAAATAAAAATTTGTTGATATTAGTTAAATATTAAAATAAAAATTTATTTTTTCTAGTAAAAATAAAAAAAATATATGCCCTTGCAAATGTTTAATTATAATTTTTATTTTTATTTTATATATTTTTATTTATTTTATTTTAAATTTTAATTATGATTGTTACTAACAAACGGTTTTTATTTTTATAAACATATAAGATAAATACAATTTATTTAAATAAAATATAAAAAATAAAGATAATTTATAATAATTTCTTTGATACAATATAAGATTTAAAAAAAATTAAAGGATTTATTATTATTTAAAAAACAGGTGAACTAAACCATTTAAAAACTAAGAGAGTATTAATTAAAATTTAAATAAAAAATTAATTAAATTTTATTTGTTTTAAAAAATAAAATAGTCAGACCCACATGCCTGGTAATAAGTCTAAAAGCCAGGCTCATGCATCTTAATAATTTCATTTTATTTTATTGAAAGAATCTGTCATTCTAGGATTATTTTCCCCAAATAGATAATAGGTAGTTTATTGTGGCAACTTGTCATCTTTTACATGAAATAGATAATAGGTAGTTTATTGTGGCAAACAACTTGTCATCTTTTACATCATTTTTTGGTCATTAAGTTTGAGTTTTTTTATTCAAAAACCTTTTTTTTAATTTTTTTCACTAGAAAAACTTATAAAAACATATTAAAAACCTTAATAAACTCATTTTTAACCGCAAAATTGTCCCTAATCTCTTTATAAATGAAAATTAAATGAATAAAAAAAATTGAAGGACACTAATTTACTTTTTTCATGATTAAAGGAAAAAACTACTCCATTAAACTCTATTAAAAAGACAAGTTAATTAACATCAAGATTAATCTTTCTAATGACTGATCATTAAAACATTTTCCCTTTCCTTAATTTTTTCCCATGATTTTCTCTCTTCCCTTATACTAAAACTGTTAAAAAAAAATAAAGAAGAAGAACAAGAAGTTTATATCTAAAATGTGAAGTGTTAAAACAATAGTGACCAAATAATGGGTAAACTAAAATTTTAAAGAGATGGGGTTTTTATTCTTGTTAGACTTAATCTTTCTTATTTTAATTTATTTTTTAATCACAAATAAATTTTATTTCACAAAATTGAGTTTTAATTCATTATCAAAATATTTCTTGGTATATTGTATATCCAAAAAATGTAAATAAAAAAAAATATGATTATGTGTGTGTGTATGTATACACACATGCATGTATATAGTACGTTGAACCGTTCATAGAGATCAAGAGATCAAGAGGGAAAGTGTTGAGACTTGAGAGCACTCTATTCCTTGATCTCTCCAATTATTTTTTTTATATTTGGTAATAATTTACTTAAAAGATTCTTGAAACATCTACCTGGTATTCAAGTTCATAAGAATCTCCATAGAGTGTTCAAGTTTTGTAATCTAACAAGCAGTATTTAAAAGGATTTATTTTTAAGAATATATTAAATTAATATAAAAAAATAACTTCGGTTAGCGAAAAATCTTATACAAATACATTTTTTATCGTCAAAAAAAGAAAAGCTGCTGTGCAATTGTCCACCCTTTCAGTAAGCAAAAGAGAGATTTCTCTTCAGCACATGAGAAATCCCAATCACCTTCTGCATCATAAACTTCTAAAACCATTAATTTCAAGCACTGTAATCTAGTAATCTGTTGTTATCCACTACTAGCCAGCTGAACTCATGCTTTTGCAGGGAAGAAAGATGGCTCCACGGAGGTTTGTCCTAAAAGCTTGCCCCCTAGAAAGATGTCCCATATCATTTGGAACCTCCAAAGGAAGTGGAAGAGCTTCCGGCAATCGCCACCAGTTCACTCATGCCATTTCGACTACACTTGCCAAAGAACTCTATTGTAATATTTTTGATAAATCATTAGAGACACTAGTTTAAACAAGGGTCCTTAGCTCAGTGGTAGAGCATTTGACTGCAGATCAAGAGGTCACCGGTTCGAACCCGGTGGGGCCCTGAGCGATTTTGTTTTTTTTTTTTTGAAATTTTCAAGACAGCCAATGCCCCATTGCAGGTTGAAGTGGTTACGTGACTCCGTCCAAGTCCAACCCTCTGTACACAAAAGGATTTCAGTCTTTCAGATGCCGTCTGTTCAATGGTGGGATCGAACATGCAAGATTTTGCTGGGCAACATCTGATACATTACGCCCACTGTTTTAAAAAATATATGCTTTCCCCTCTGAAAAATTACGAGACATAAATTAAACAATTGAATCACTTCAAAATCGAGAGATATACTATTTGGATTTTAGATCCAAAACAATTAAATTCAAGTTTTTCATTATTTGGTTGTTTATAAATGGTTTTTCATCGGCATTTCACTAATTCTTTTTATTGTTTAGTTGTTCCAATCCCAAATAATAAAAAAATTCCATCGTAAAATTACAATAACAAAAATCACTACCAAAACACATCTCCATAACAAAAAAAAAAATTATAATACAAATTTCACTAGTCCTCTAAATATTTCATACACAAATATTTTTTAAACAAGACATATAAATTTCTACAAATATAAAGGTATATAGAGAGAAAAATATCCTAAATCAAAAGGTATAGAAATTTAAGGGGGAGGAAAAGATTTTAAACCGAAGGTTTAAGAAGAGGAGGCAAATGTAAAGCCATATTTACATCTAATTTCTCTTAAACATTATATTTTCTTGTTTGAATCATGTTTTTATTTTTTTCCCCTCCAAATTTAGGAAAATGAATAGATAGTTGTTCCTTAAAATAATTTTTATCAATTCATCAATGTCTAGTGATGTTTGGCTTGGGATGAAATGAGATGTGCCTACGATGTGTGACCAATTAAGATGAAATGGGGTGTGCCTACAATTGAAACAGGAGGGCACAACCTCATTTCTCAGGCCAATACCATTAGTATACTATAAACTCAATTTACATTGGATCCATCTGTTGTATCTATCCTACCAAAAAAAAAAAGTAAAAATTTGTTTTTCTGTAGAACCATGAGAGCATTTTATCCTACTAAAAAAAAAGTAAAAATCCTAAACTCATATTAACGATGCAAATAAAATTAGTGAGGCAATAATATATATATAACTTACAACAGTTTTGCTTTTCTGTAGACAAACGTCTTCTTCCATTGAAGTCAGTTTACACCTAAGCTATTTTTTCTGCAAATTAAACAATTTGTTT